GAGAGAGAGAGAGAGAGAGAGAGAGAGAGCACATACCGTTCCACTTGACGAGAATACTCTTGCCTTCGGGAACGGCTGACAAATCAATATCAATGACACCCATAGCGAGCGTCGACTGCGCGGGCGACAGATTGGCCACCAATGTCTGACCGATACGTTTGGCGACTATAGCTCCGGTCACTCCCACACCGATCTTAACGGCGTCGAGTGTCAGTCGGCGCTCGTCTCGCGACTCTTTAGCCGCGCGGTTCGGGTCTTTGGTCTTCGGGTGTCTATAGTTCTCAAAGTTGGGTACTTTTATGTCGTTGTGATAATAGCGGACATGTGTTCCCACTGTATGTATGTATTGGTCAGCGGTAGCGGACAGACAGGCATCGGGTGAGTGACGGCCAGAGACAGCACAGGGCGACGAGTGGTGTGAATGAGAAATGAAAAACAAAACCACAGATTAATAACAAATACATACAAAACAAATGCAAATCAATGGTTAGGCTCTCAAGAGGTTTACCACCACTAAGTGGTGACTACTGACCACCATTGGTGGCCGTAAAACCTCCCGAAGCCCGTGTAGCCAATAAGCATCGGCGGCCACACATACCTCCAACACCGGAACCGGCGGTCAGTTGACGGGTGAACAGCGACTTCCCGATGGCGTACGAGGTCTGGGGCCGCGGCCTCGACGGCGCGTCCACGTGTGTGGCCAACCATTGATACTCGTAGGGGATAATCGGTGGTGTGATCTCTTCCCTCTCCTCCCAGTGCGACAACAGCTGACTCCCGGCGGGCGTGGGCTGTATAGAGCGCGCGCCCACCGCTTGGGTGACGGCCCGCACAGCGCTGGCCACCGCCGGACCCCCGCGACCACTCACTGTAAGCATTGATAGTCGGTATTTGTCGGTAAATGTGTGGCCAAAACAAGTGATGGTAACAAATGTTGTGTTGTTTTTGCGTAACCTTTGCTTTGCTGTTGCAATGCCTGTGCAGTGTATGTGTGCTGTCACGTGATGTGAGCGCTGTTTTTTGTTGTAGACGTTTTGTGTGTTGTTTTGCGCCCAATTGTCTACAATGTGTTGCATAGCGTTTGTACTGTTAATGTTTATTATGTGCCAAAATGGTTGCCCATATAGTGTGTATGGTTTGTATGAGTTTTTTGTTCCAGTTTTTGCGTGTGTTGTTATGCGGTTTGTCAACAGATATTTGTGTATAGGTATAGCGAGCTGTGTGTGTGGTTTTTAAAACGGGTTAACTGACATAATATAATATTGTATACTTTATTACCTTCAATAAGGCATTTGTATTGAACGGCAGTTATAATAGTCTTATTAAGCAGTTATACATATTTGTAAGTATTGGTGAATTATATTTGGAGAGAGTGTATGAGAGAGACTATGAGAGAGTGTTGTGTGAGAGTCTATGTGGGAGTATATGAGAGAGGGTTTGCCATTAAACTGAAATAGATGAAATTAATGTGCGATAAAAATATGATTAAAATTATAACATTTATTACAATTAGATTAATATTTTAGATAAGTGATCATGTTTTTTGTACATTAATCGCATTGAAATAAGTATTAAAGATTAATTTTAATTATTATAGCATGTATTTAATAGCAAAAAGTTTACAAAAGTTTTTTTATAGCAACTTCTCATATGAAGAATATTATCTAAATTTGTTGTTATTTTATAAGAAAGTAAATGAATGAGAGAGAGAGAGAGAGAGAGAGAGAGAGA